TCATTTATTCATGTATATATAGAAGCGTATCGGCTGGTTTTGTATTTTTTTTTTTGCTCACTACTGGTATTGAATGTTTCGTTGTCCTTCCGACTATTTGAAAAAAATCACCTGTTTTTATTTATTTTTATTTTTATGAAATAAAATCTATGATATGTTAAATTCTTTCAGCTTAATGTAAACTTTACAAATACGACACGTCGTCTTTATACTCTTCTCGCTTGTTTATCTTAATAATAATAATAGTTGATCTTAATATAGTGTTTGGTGATATCAAACCGGTAATATGAAAGTCAAATTCTCTCTTCTTGCTTGGGCCTTATTGACTCTTGCCTCTTCCGTCCCCGGACACGCTCACGTCGTTTCACCGAGAAGCGTTGAACCTGCTCGTCGAATAAACTTCGGTCCTGAATTAAATCATCGTACTTTTAACGCTCCTTCGATAAAGAAGTTCGGTACTTTTACTACTTCAGATGCTGCTGATCCTGAAGAAATTGCTATTAAATTTGTTAAATCAAAACTTCACCCGAAAGCTGAATTTGTGATTAGAGATATCTACAAATCGGATCATAATGGTGTTACTCATGTATACTTAAAACAAGTTGTTAATGGTCTATATGTCACCAATGGTGACATTAATGTTAACGTTGACCAATTCGGTAGAGTTATATCGTATGGCGATTCGTTCGTTAAACCTAACGCTAACGCAAATCGACCGATGGGTCCGATTAAGATCACTAAAGATGGAGTAAAAATAAACCTCATTTCTGAAGGGGTTCAATTTGTGTTTGATGAACACGACACTATATACCTAAAATCTCCTTCTACCGATTCGAGTTCCGATTCTGTTACTTACTCCATTAATAGTGAGATTGGTCCTGTCATTTCTCCAGAAGAAGCTTTAAATTCCTTAGCTCACTTTATTAATCAAGAAATTCCCCATCCTGAAAATATAAAATACACGGAAGTTGGCACGCTTGAAGGAACGGAGTCATTTATATTACTCACCAATGTACCATTCGCCCTTTCCGACGTGAAAATGAGCCAGTCCTACATTCAATTGGATGATCAAACATTACAACTCGTTTGGGACATTCAAGTAGAGATGGAAGACAATTGGTATAATGCTCATATTAATGCTAATAACGGTGAACTTATCGCTCTTATGGACTGGGTTTCCGATGCTATGTATAACGTATTTCCACTCGGTACAAATGATCCTTCAGACGGTTCTCGACAAATTGTTGAGAACCCTTATGATATTATCGCTTCGCCATTAGGCTGGCATTCCCAGGATAAAAAAAATTATACCAATACTATTGGTAATAATGTGTATGCTCATGAAAATTTAAAAGGAAAATACGACTGGGAAAATAATTATCGTCCTGAAGGTGGTAGTTTATTGGCTTTTGATTTTCCTTTGGATTTGACTCAGGCTCCAAAAACCTATATTGATGCATCCGTCACTAATCTTTTTTACTGGAATAATATTGTAACTATATGTGATTTTATTTCGTTAAATGCCACGCATGAAACCACTATTTAGGCAATTAATCATATATTTTTAAATTTTAAAGATTCATGATTTATTCTATCGATATGGTTTCAATGAGGTTGCCGGCAACTTTCAACAATATAACAATGGCAAAGGTGGAAGAGACAAAGATGCTGTAGTCGCCAATGCACAAGATGGTTCTGGGTATGATTATTTGTCTTATTTATATATGTATATATGCATATCGGTTTTTTTTTAAAAAAAAAAAAATTTTCAACACGACAATTTCAGATTTAATAATGCCAATTTCGCTACACCACCAGATGGTCAGCATGGTAAAATGCGGATGTATGTGTGGGATGTCATTGATCCATGGCGCGATGGAGATCTAGAATCAGGGATTGTTGTATGTATCGAATGTATTAAATGTACAATGATTCGACTATACATAATCATGTCTTTAACGAATTTTTTCAGATTCACGAATATGCTCACGGCATTTCCACTCGTTTAACCGGTGGTCCATTAAATAGTAATTGTCTTGGATGGGGCGAAGCCGGGGGTATGGGCGAAGGTTGGGGTGATTTCTTTGCAACAATATTACGCATGAATTCATCGAATGATAGAAATAGTGAATTTGGAATGGGAGATTGGGCTAACGGTGGTGAAGGAATAAGGCGTTACCCGGTATGTTATTATTTAATTAATTACATTCTATACAGAAATCTAAATATCTTTATATGAAGTAGCTACATAGTAGTTATGTAGTAACTATATAGTTCCGATTAAGTTTAATAGTAACTAAATAGATACTGTACAGTTGCTGCGCATTAAAAAATCCAAGTTTCTGCAAAGCTTATTTAATCATTATTTTAATTTAATTATGTATCTAGATATACTTATTAATAGCCTTTTTTTTTTTTTAATTTTACAATATAGTACTCTACTTCCTTTAAGACAAACCCAGAACTCTTTTCATATTTGGACAAACCAGGATATTGGGGTGTGCACGCTAAAGGGTGAGTTAAATAATTAAATAATATAGAGTTAGTGGATGTAGCCAATAATAGGAGTTATTCTTGTGGTGCGATCATAATAAGCTGCTGGATAATTCTTATAATTAGATGCTTTATAATCAATCAAGTCTTTTTTTTTTTTTTTAACAAAATAATTATTTCTATTATTAGAGCTGTGTGGGCCGAAATTTTATATGAAGTATATTGGAACCTAGTTGATAAATATGGCTTCACACCTGATTGGTTCACTCCTGTTTTAGATAACAATACACCTCCGTCTTCATCAGATTGGTATTCCTCCGCATCGAAACCCAATAAGCTAATTCCAAGACATGGCAATACCCTAACACTACAACTAGTAGTAGATGGGCTGAAACTCCAACCATGTCGTCCATTGTTTATAGATGCTCGTGATTCAATTATACAAGCTGATGAAATACTCACAGGTGGCGAAAATTTATGTGAAATCTGGCGAGGTTTCGCGAAACGTGGACTTGGCGTAAAAGCCAAAGTAATAGGAGGAAGCCCATGGGGCGGCGGTGTTCACAAGGACAGTTTTAAGGTACCCAAAAAATGCAAAAGAGATGATGACGAAGATGACGACCATAGTGATGATGATGATTAGAATTGATGAATTAAAGGATTAATTAGTAGTAGAAAACAAGTTTTGGGATTTTATTTATTTAAAATATATAATTTATAATACAGATGAGAATAGATTTATTTGACTTGACTTTATAGTTTTTTTTTTGTCGTGTTATGAATTTTTTGATACTAGTTGTGATAACGACATATTGTACAGTACATATCGATATAAATCGAATTCCTTTGTATTTGATGTCAATCATTCGAATCTTCCGAAATTATGAAAATTTAATTCTAATCTTGAGAAACAGCATAATTACTGGTTAAGTCTTAACGTTAATTGAATATATTTACTGATTTTTTACGTCTGTTTCATAATTTCTGGAACTAAAAAGATTGCCGATAAATGAATCAATAAGTTTGATTTTTTTGCTGATATCGATTTGATTCAACTACAAGAAAAAAAAGGTAACCCTTCGGCAAATCACCTAATTTTCGCTAAAGCTAACGCTAATAATTAGGGTTGTTAATGGAGTAGCTTTCTCCGGAGTAGAACCCAACCCAAGTTGGAGTGGGTTTAAACTTTTATCTTTAAATTTGGAGCAACCCGGAGTGAAATACTGGGGTAAGTCTAATTTACTGGAGTGGGTTAAGAATTAGATCAACCCATTAACAACCCTACTAATAATTTAGCCTTATGGTCTATAATGACATGTATAACCTATCTTGACGCATCCTAGCCCAGGGGTATTGATTAGCATAGATAAAAGTTGCATTACGTTTAATTCAGATTATTTAATCTAACTTTATGAGACTCGTTCGAACACGATATAAGTTTTTTTTACAATGACAATTATTCGACCTAAAAAATTATGGTCAAAACAATTTACAGAAGTCTTCCGGATATAATAAATGTTACTAATAATTCGAACATTTCACTAGTTATAATGCTTAAGTGTAATTTTAAAATTGTGTATATAATTTGCACTTTAATGAAATTACGAAATTTTTTTACGAAATATGAAATGATAATGATTGAATTATTTTCACAGCCATAAGTTTATTCTGATGTGACCAAAAGCAACGTACATTCACAACTAATACAATTCAGCGAAAACACCATATTTTTAAATATCCAGAACTATAATGACTACATAGTATTCATCATTGTTTTACGAGGGGAAGTTTAACGATTGAGAACAATACCATCAAACTAATTTAATGAATGATCGTTAATATTAAAATCACGAAGATAAATATATAGATAGCAAAATTAAAAGCTCACCCTTTGTTTGAACCACTTTATGGTTTCATCCTTAGTTACACGATGCGAAAAACCAACCTTTGAAATAGCTCTTCTTCTCCTTGATACTCTATTTCCAGGTCTACCTAGAACGACATAAAAATCCATACCATAAATACCAATTGAAGGATCGTACTTGATCCCTAAATCGATATGTTCTTGAATACCGAATCCAAAGTTTCCGGTTGCAGAAAAATTACTTCTTTTTAATTCATATTCTTTAACTTTAAGGCCACGTTCCAGGATTTCCTCGGCTTTAGGGCCTCTTACAGTAACATGCACAGCAATCTTTTCATTACGTCGAATGCCAAAAGATCTAACCGTGAAACGAGCTTTTGAGTATACTGGGGTTTGTCCTGTAAGTTGTTCAAGCACTTTTGCTGCACGAGTCAATCGATCACCAGGCTCACCCACACAAATATTGAGGACTAATTTTTCTATACGAAGCTCTCGCATAGCATTATTCGCGGGTGTTTTCTCTTCGGAAGGCTGCAACAACCAAATAGAAAAGATATAATATGAATTTATAGAATACCATTAAAGTCACAAGATCTATCGCAAATTTTTTAAAAAAGCCTCCTTTAACAAGAACATATGTTACATAAAACCTCTGCACGATATTTTAACAAATTTAATAAAAATAGTGATCTAATATCCTTCTTACCATTATGGATGGAAAAATGATAACTCGAAGTTATGAAATCCTTCAAGTATGACGATTGAAAGAGGAGAAAATCGAAATTTGCGACATTTTTTTTTAATTTATAAAAATTTGATTTTGTACGATGTCACATGTGATCGGCCAATCAAAAGTTAGAATATATTAGAGCGAACAGGAATCCGGGCTAGCATTGAATTTTTATTATTGAAAACAATAGCCCACTTTAATATTTCGTGCGGACTGGATTAGTGTTGTTAGTCGAAATTATTTAGACATTTAGACATTTGACAAACTGAATTTAGAGAATTTTGACTTTGTCATTTTTTTAAACCTTACTATTAAAAAATAATAAAACTTAATTTAGGCATTTAGACATTTAATTTAGATAAATTTTGACTAACATTAGGCCGGATCGAAAGTCATAACAGTTTCTAATTTCGCAGGTCCATATATATCCTCTAAGGGAAGGTCAGGTATTCTGACGCATCTAGGAGCAGGGTAGGCAAATGACTATACTTGCTAAACAAATCTCAAACCTTTAAAAAATAATTGCTATTTAAAAAAAAATTAAAAAAAATTAAATCAAACAAATAATTCTAAAATTTTATAAATATATATATTATTTATAGTTATAAGATTATACTTGATTACATAAAAGATCAAGATAATGATGGTCAACTCAATGTACAGAGTAGATTATAGTACTTTGCACAACTGTGAGAACCAAGCATACAATCTTAGAAGATCATTTTTAACATTTTTAAGACCTTATAATCTTCATACATGTTTTAACAATTTTTTTTTTATTACAATTTATTACTTCTTTCTTATAATTAAATTATTCAATTTCTTATATAAAATATTGATAAATATAACTATAATAACACTGTTTCTAATATTATTTTTTTTATTAGTAATATCTATCATAAATCTATATATATCTTTTAAATGATTTTCTCTTATTCAATTATACTATCATTCTTTCTTTTTTTTTAATTTTGGTAATATTATTAGTTGGTTTATTAAACTTAATTTGATATAATACAAATTTTAGTTATATGTTTAGAATTGATTATTATTAGTACTATATTTGCTATTTAATTTTACACTACTAACTTTATCCAGCTATTCATATAGCACCTAAATGTGTATCTACCACATGTCTGCATGCAGTTATCTTGGCAACTACTTGCAATCAGAGCATATCATTAAATCACTACACAGATAAGAATACCTATTGAACTTAATATAATATTATAAATATTAAGAATACTATCTTTTGTAATTATATTCATATGTCTTATTTATATGTTTTATCTAGTTTTGTTTTTTCTGTTTTCTAATCTAACTATATCTAGTAATATCTTGTTCTTCACATTTCTTATTTTTTTATTACTATACTACTCTTAAATTGATCTTACTTTAGTATATCTAATTTTTCTGATTTTTTATTTTTGGTATACTTATTATTGATTCTTCTAAGGTATTCTAACTAGAGTCTTTATATTTAGTTCAAGTTCAGTTTAGTTCAGGTTGAACCTAAACTTGAACTAAACTCAAACAATAAATTTTACTAATTTCAAATCTAAATCTGAACTTAAACTTATAATTCCTAAATCTGAATCAAACTCAAATATGATAATAAATTTAATTTAGGTTTAGTTTAAAGTTTATAAACAAGTTTATATTTAAATATAAAATATTTAAGAAAAGATTTGTAATCTAAAGTTTAGCAGACTCAATTTCTGAATATTTTTTAAGAATTGAGTTCAATAAACTATAATCTGTACTATCTTATAAATAAAATTCTAATTTATATATTTTTTTCTTATTTAGTTAACATACTATATTACATATTAAAAAAATAAGTATATTTTATAATTATGATAATGATAAACTTATAACCTTTACTATTATATAAATAGAGCTTCAACTTATATACTTTTCTCTTATTTAGTCAATATATTGTATTGCATATTAAAAAGATCAATAAGTATATTTTATAATTCTAATAACAAGAATATTGATCAGATAATTAGTATAATATTAATTATAATAATTTAAATATCTTGAATTGGATCAAATTAAAAAAAAAAATTGACCAACTAATAATAAGTTTTATATCTATAGAATTAGAAGTTACATTAAACATCTTCTATAATAATAGTAATATTTATGATAATGATCATAACAATAACTATAGTAATAACTATAGTAATAACTATAATAATAATTATGATAATAATATTGATAATAATAATAGTACAACTAGTAAATGAAGTAATAGAATTGAGATATAGGATTTTTTAAAAAGGTTGTATATAAAAAGAAAAAAAATAGCTAAATGTATAATATCAAAATGCAATCATAATAAGTTTTTTTGTAGAAAATGAGACACTATTAGATTACTATAATGTTATTTGGAAAGTATGCACTAAACTTAGTATATTATAACAGAAGAATTTAATAAAAAAAAAGAAATCTATAAAATAAATGTGATACTCTTAAGGATGCATTTAAAAAAATTAGCTTTAAAGTTTTACAAATGCCAAACATAATACTATTAAAACATAATGTTTGTACTAAGCATTATGTTTTAATAATATTGTGTCTGGCACTTCAGAATCCTAGTTAGTTCTTTTTTTATTTTATTTTATTGATTTATTATTATTAATTTAATTTAAAAAATATTGTTTAGAATCTTAAAGACCCAATATTAGTTGATATTGATAATATAAAGCTTTATTATATGTTTTTTGCCTAAATTATTAATTGTTAACATTTATTTAATATTATTAAAGACTCTGAATTAATTGAAATCATAAAATATTTAAATATTATAGTATAGTTAGTTAAAGCTAATATAATTAAAAAAACAATAATGTTACTTTATGATTTAGAAAGAAAGGAGTTAAAGACAAGCTTACTATTGTTATTTTTTTTAATTTAAATTTTTTATTTATTTTTTTTATTTATTATTTTTTTAATTTGTTTTTATTTTTATTTTATTTTATTTTTTATTTTTTATTTATTTTAATTTAATCTTGAGAACCTAAAGTGTTAATGAAATATTTTATTAAATATTAATATTAATATTTTTATATTATA